CGCTCCGTTCGCTGGGATGGAAGCTGCGCGCACCAGAAGTTTTTTCGCCGCCGGGTAGACCTTTGCAGGACCTCGTGGCCTTCCCACAGGCCGAAGGTTTTGGCCCGCCACGCGGCCGGCAGCTCGCGCCCGATCCTCGCGTTGTGGGTGAACTGCGGGAGCGCCTGCGCAAACGCTGAGGTATCCATCTAAATCACGCAGTCCATCCCAGCCGGCAGCGCCGCCACGCTCAGCGGATTCTTCGCAAACGACGTTTCGCCTTCATCCCCTTCGCGAATTGCATGATTTGAATTTTTTATGTTATGTTTCCCAGAAAGCGTCAGCTCCTCGACACCAATGTGCGAAATGGCGTCGAGGGGGGCCGCTGAGAAGGATTTTATACAAATCGTGTGCTGCAACAACGCGTCAAAACCCGCACCGGTAGGGCGGGAGAGGGGTAATATCGCTCACAAAATGCACCCCCTACAGGATGTTCTTACTAGTGAAGCTAGCGCACGCGGATAACTTTGCGCTGAACGTTGATGCCTCCTCCCTCTCTGATGATGTGCCGAAATCCGCAGCGCCAAATATGTTGCCATCGGCACTGGCCACGGTTCTGGGCGACAACCCTACTTGCACTGTCCCTAATTGCGATGCATGCGACCCAACAGATGCTAACAAGTGTACAAGCTGCTTTCCAGAATACGGTGTGAAAGAAGGTGAATACGAAAAATGTACTGACTCCAAATGCATTAGATGCAATCCAATCGATGTGAGAAACTGTACAAGCTGCTATCCAGGATACTGTGTGAAATATGGGGCATGTGAACCATGTACTGATGAAAACTGTTTATTTTGCAGCATCGATGCTAACAAGTGTACGATCTGCAGTCTCGGATTTACGTTGAGCACTCAAGGCAAAGCTTGCGTAAAATCTCAAGGGCCTCTCGAGTTTCGGGTCCCCTTTTTGTGGGAGTTCTATCTGCGCTGGCTGTCTCAGTGCTGCTTTAAACCCTATATAAAATTGGGTGAGCTGTCCCTAGCTGGCACTGAACTTTTTCCAAGTATCCCTACTGCAAGGTGTGACTAATGTGCATTTCATATGCCTTTTAAGTACAGCGTCCTAATCTTCCCCCATCTTTTTTATTTTCTACACATTTTGTGCTGTTTATGTTGTGATCTCTCTCGTTGGAGTACCACCCCTCTAGCCTTGATTAATGGTAAATCGGTACAGTTGAGATATTTTCGCATTTTTTCTATAAATATACTATTAATTTTAATATAATTTAC